GGAGTTAGAATTTTTCACGACGTGTTTCCCTAGATCTCTGCTTACTGGTTCACTGTAGTTGGTAGAAGTTGAAAACGGTGTTTTGTCTCATGTATGGACTTACCCGTTCTGTATTCCAACATTTGGATTCCTTGTCTTGGTCCCTGCTTTTACCGTGTTCCAGGTATGACACCTGCTTTTTCCCTCTGAACAGTCCTTGGATTTTCTCCTGTTTCCAGCATTCTGAAATTGGACGTTGACGTACTTTGGTGTTGATCTGTTTTCTTCCACTGTGTGAATACTTTGAGGGCCCTCCCAGTGTCGTATCCACTGGTTTAGGAAATCCTGTTGAATTATTGATTTATTGTGAGCTCTTCCCCATCGTTTTATTTCGGTTCTCTCTCTCTGAAATTCCTGTTAGAATATCCAACCTTCTGAACAAATTCTGTCTTTTCTTTCCTGTTGTCTTTTTCATTGTCATTTGGCTTTCATAGCTTGGAGAGCACCTCAACTTTGTATATAAACCTTCTGTTAAGTTTTTAAATTCTATTTTTATATTTTAAGTTTCTAACCGTTCTTTTGTGTTCTCAAGTGTCTTAGTTTTAACGTTTCTGTTTCCCACATATCCTCTGGTCTCCTCTCCAGTTGTTTGTCCATTTGTCTGTCTTTTTTGTGTTTTGCTTATCACTTCCCTGGTAGAAGTTTCCTTCAGCAATCTGATCATCCTGGTGCTTCACTGGTATTTTGAGCTAAGGAACAGCTCTGCGCCATGGCTGATGATGCTTGCTGCTTTCAGTCTTTAGGTGATCTGCCAGGACCATGTCTATGGGAAGTGGGGGGCATTGGCTTTAGGTCATTTTTCTTGTTTGTTGGTTGCTTTGTTTGTCAAATTTTCTAGGGGGAAATGTCTGTTCTCCTTCCTAGAGGGGTTAGTTAGCCCTGGCTGCCAGCATTCTGGAGGTTGGATGTAAATTGAAGAGCACAACACTTCATTATGTAAAACTTTATTATTTAGCCGGGTGTGGTGGCACACGCCTATAATACCAGCATTCGGGAGGCTGAGGCAGGAAGATTGCTGTGATTTCAAGACCAGCCTGGGCTATACAGTGAGTTGTAGGGCAGTCTGAACTACATACCCAGACTCAAAAAAACTATATATATATATATATATTCCCTGCCTGCTCTCAAGTTCTGGATTAGAGATAACTTACTGTCCCTGTAGGAAAGAAAACCTTAAGCCTTCCACTTTAAGAGGGAGTTACTGAAATGCATTCAGGAGAAGGCTTTTGCATGAGCTCTCAGGGCCACTGAATTACTTCTTCTTTTCCACCTCTTCTGATTTATAATTTAGCTTTCTCTACTTGTTAAGTGAAGTATCATCTCCTAAAATTGTATCCCTATCATTATTTCTTCCCCCTTTTAATTTTTAAAAATCATATTTTAATCTTGTTTCATTTTGTTTTCAGACTGGGCCTCACCATGTAGTTCAGACTGGCCTTGAATTCACTATGTAGCTCACGCTGGCCTTGAACTTGTGATTCTCCTGCCTCAGCCTCTTGAACACTGGGATTACACGCATGTGCCATATTTTACAGACTGGCCATATTTTATTTTATTTTTTATATACCGAGGATCAATCTTGGGACCTTGTGCTTGCAAGACAAGCTGTGCATATTTTACTTTTAATGGAGATTTGGAGGTAAATACATTTGTTCAACAGCCAGGTTTAATCAGTATTTTTTAAAACAGATATTCTTAATCTATTGATTTCTTTTGAAACATTACATTTTCTGTGCCAGAAAGCAAACCCAAGTGGTCTGATGGGATCAACTATCATATCCTAGTATGATTTTGTAAATGTGATCATTCATTTCTGACCAGTTTTTCATATTTGGCCATCATAACTGCTGCGTGGTATTTCTGTTTGTTGGCAAAACCCTCCTGGCTGGTTCAGCCTTCTCTGATGTAGTTAGGGATGTAAGCAACACGTGTGCCCCACATGGGCTCTGAAATCTGGGCTCGCACTCTCTGACTCCCTCCTCCACAGCTGCACAAGCTTCCGAGCACAAGGTCTGCCTCTCCACCAGGCCCTGAAACTCACAGCCCCCGGTGCTTGAGAGAATGTTCTGGGTGACTGAGACTGGAATAACGAAGAAGCACTGTGTGCATCACGGATTTGGACAGAGTACTGTGTATTCTACCATCTTTCTGAGGGATCAGATGTGAGCAGATGTGGATTTCAGGTGGGATGAAGTGGAAGGAGAAATCCGAGATTTTTGTTTGTTTGGTTTGGTTTTTGTTTTGCTTTTGGTACCGGGGATCGAACTCGGGACCTTGCACTTTTGAAGCAGGTGGCAGAAGCAATGAGCTAAATCCTCGGCCCTGTTTTGATTTTTGTTTTTTGAGACAGTCTTACTGTGTAGTCCAGGCTGAACTAGCAGTGATCCTAGAGCCTCAAGCCTCCCAAGTGTTAGGGTTACAGAATACCTGACACATTTTTTACTCTACTTTTATGTACTGAAACAAGAATTCCCACAGCTGATATTATCCTTATAGAGCTGTGTTCAAGATAGGCAACTATGGCCATTATTTGAATGGGCCAGAATTGGAGGACATGTAGCCAGGCTCACAGTCCAACCCAACAGGCAGCCCTTTCAGTCTCAGAAAGGCAAGCCTGGAAATCCATAATTAGAACTAAAATTCCTTAACCTGATTTTGACCTCTGTAATCATAGGAAGATCAGTCTTGCTTGTTATTTCATAAACAGCAAAATCCATTAGCCAGTCACAATGAGTCTGTTACTAATTTTTTGGTTTAAAAGACTAAAATCAAAGCCTGAAATTGGGTGTGTGGTACATGCCTATAACCCCAGCACTTGGGGGAGGCTGAGGCAAGAGAATCTTGAGTTTTAGCCTAGCCTGGACAATTTAGCAAGAACTTGTCTCAAAATAAAATTTAAAAAGGACTAGGGCCAGGTGTGGTGGTGCACGCCTGTAATCCCAGCACTTGGGAGGCTGAGGCAGGAGGATTGCTGTGAGTTCGAGACCTGCCTGGGCTACACAGTGAGTTCCAGGTCAGTCTCAACTACATAGTGAGACCCTGTCTCAAAAAACAAACAAACAAACAAAAAAGAAATAAGAAAAAATAAAATAAAAAGAGCTAGGAATAAGGCCCGGGGTTCAATCCTTAGTAACAAACACACATGCATGTGCACAAAGACCAAAATTTTTTAAAAGCTGCTTTTGAAAAATCACAGTACGCCTATATTCCCCGCACTTAGGAGGCTGAGGCAGGAGGATCATAGTGAGTTTGAGGCCAGCCTGGGCTACATAGTGAGTTCAAAGTCAGCCTGAATTACATAGCAAGACCCTGTCTCAAAAAAAAAACAAAACAACAAAACAACAACAAACCAAACTGTAGCACCACAGCAATAGTTGTTACTTGGTGCCTTGCTGGGGTGTGCCTCAGTGAGAAAGTGCTTGCCTTTTTATGCAAATCCCTGGGTTCGAACCTCAGAACCCCCCTAAACCCTGAGTATTCATTCAGTGCCTACTGTGAGCTGGATGGTTTAATACAGGGTCACATTTAATTCTCCCCCTTCCCAACAATTCTGCAACAAGATTATTACTCCCACTTTGCTTATAAAATATGGTAAGACTCTAAGAAGGTGGGTAGCTTATCTGAGGTCATGAAATTGGTAAAGTTGAAATGGAGTTAGACACAGAGTTTTAGAATTTTTTTCCAGAGACCATCCTCTTTGTGCTAAGCCAGATGCCCACAGCAAGCTGCTATCTCTGACTCTTGTAAACTATGTGGGTAGTGTGCATTTTTGAATGCAGGGGATATTTCAGACAGGCCAGAAGGAAACACATGTGTTTATTCTTGCTCCCTTATCTGTTCTATAGTACAGACATGTACCATTACACGACAGAGATCATCACCTAGCAAATCACCTTCCCCCCAGGTACACAGGTGACAAACTCAGGTGCAGAAGGGCTCAGTGATGGTGCTGGTTGCCAGGGCTGTCATGTTGTCCAAAACTATCCCTGTCTAGTCAAGAAACTGAAGAGAACCGAAGTCCTGGGCTTTAGCCCTGGTGTTGATGCTGATTGGCCCTTTGGGACTTGTCACCTACTGAAGGGAACTCTTTGTTGAAAGTCTTACATGTGTCAGGCACTGTTTTTTGTTTTGGTCTTAATTTACTTGTTTTGAATAATCTTGATGTAACCAAGAGTTACAGAGGGTACTGAGGTTAGAGCCCTCTCTCCAGTTTTCCTCCCTTGAAGTTAGTTCCCTTGTCACTGTTGTCCATTGTTTACAGTTTGGTATAATACTTCTAGAGGTAACTTTAAATATTTTATATTATACAAAAATATTATATTGTTTAAGCTCCTTGGTTATTGCTTTAATTGTCTTTTCTCAGGAGTTGGAGTGAGAGGGAAGCCAGTATATGTGCACACTCTGCATTTTTGTTCCAGCTTTTAACCCCATTCTACAGATACCAACAGTGAGCTCAACAGCTACTCAAGTAGCTACTTGGTAATGAAGCCAAGATTCAGTATTTATTGAAACTGGGCTGGGGATTTAGCTCAGTAGTTCTGCTGTCTGCCTTGCAAGCTTAAAGATCTGAGTTCGATCCCCGGTACAAATAAAAATATATATATATATGTATGTGTGTGTG